TGGTAAAATCTGTATAAAGTCTGTAGTTTAGCTTTTGTTTTTTAATGCGTATGGTTTGATCGAAATTGTTTCAGGAAATGTGACAGAGACCGCAGAGCAATATTTTAACGTTATCATTAAAGATGATATATTTGCATCGCGAAATTCAGCCATTAAAACCTGTTAGTTGGCGAGTGGAAAAGGGGGCGCGTGTGGCTTCGTCAGGGCGTCTGCAGTGATGACGGAAGGGAAGCCAGGAAGGAAAGGGGTGATGCCATGAGCTTCCGAGGGTGGAGGAGGCGACTGACGGCTGAGTTATGGGCACCCCACAGCCGCTGCCTTATTCTAAGCCACAGCAATCCTAGGAGGGGCAGAGGTTATTTATAAACAATTTCAATTTATGAATGAGGACACTGAAGCTCAGCGAGACTTACCCAAGTTGCAGTAGCTACAATGTGTTGAGCGCCTGCTGCAGGTAAGTCTGTAAATATCAGTTAATTGAATTCTTGCAAAACAAGGTAGGTCCAATTATTACTCCCATTTTAAAGATGGGGATGCGGAAGCCTAGAGGGAGGCAGGGAGTCGCCCAAGGCCCCAGGAGGAGCTAAGCCTGGAGGCTGGGGACCCCGTATCCCCTCTGCCACATGCCCCACCCCACACAGGCCCAGCACAGTGCTCGCCAGGGAGCTCACGCTGAAACAGAAATTACATCAGGGCAGGCCAGGGCCTCTGATCCCCATTCCCTTGGAAGGAGACAGAGAGGCAGAGACAAAGACAAAGACAGACTGAGAGAGATGGAGGCAGGAGAGAGGCGGAGGGCGTCCAGAGACAGGGGTGGCCCCCTTTGGGGCAACTTCGGCTGACGAACTCTGGGCCTGGGTTCTCAGGAACAGATCATTTCTGAGAAAAGGGCAGAGTCAGATAAAGGCCCCCCTGCGCCAGGCTGAGCCTGATCTACAATGGCATTGGTGTTGCCATGGGAACCCTCAACTGTTGGGAAGCACAGTTTTTTTTTCTTTCTTTTTTTTTTTTTAAGAGATAGTGTGTTATGTGCTTCTTGGGAAAATTATTAGGGATTTGTTTCTTCTTCTTCCAGTCGAATTAGAGCACATTCTAGTGGCAGGGGTGGGGAGGGTTGGGGGGGTGGGCATCAATTGATTGTCACCCGTCCTAACCAGTGGTCTTTCAATTTCCCAGAAAGATCTATATGTCCCTGAGTATCTTCTGACCTGATCAGGGCCGGGATTACAAGGCCATCACTGACTCTCCCCAGTCGTCTGGTTACTCCTGTCACTCCCTCTCCACCCCCGCAGCCTGGACCCCGAGCCCCAAGGGGGCATCGGCAGCTTCCTGTGCCTATTGAATCTCTGCACCCAGCCCAGCACGGGGAAGATGGTGCCGGGACATTTGTGAGGCTGGCTGTCTGTCCCCGCGCGTCTGTGACATGGGGAGGTGGGTTCTGTGCTGTCTTCTCTCCGCCCCTCAGAATTCTTCCCACCCAGGTCTGAGGCCAGGTCCTCCAGGGACACACCGGCTGGACACCCACGATGACACACTGTCCCCTCCTCAGCACTCCGCCACGTCCCCCGCACACAGTGCCGGTGAGTGGATTAACAAGTGTGCAAAAGCCACCAACAGAGCTCGTACGAACCAACGTGCTGTTTTACCACCGTTTCCTGGGCCCCCACCCTCTGTCAGCCGGCTCTGTGAAACCCCATCCTCCAAACCCAGAGCGGCTTCTCCCTGACCAAACCCCCTTGGCTTAAACTCTTCTAGGACTATCTGCCACTCCGTGGCCACTCGTGGAGCCGTGGGGCAGCCACTTTTCTTTCTGACCCCTCCGAGAAAAGCTCACGACCCAGGGTCTCCCCCAAAACAGCACCTCCCCCACAGAGTCTCTCTTCCCATCACACCCCACGGCCTGTTCATTCTCGGAAAAATATAGCTTGGGTTTATTTTTTGAGGCAATGGAGTGGCAAATCCATTTGTGACAGAATGTTTGAACATGTGTTCATTAAATCTTTAGTTGACTCTGTGTAATTGAAAAATACAGTGGGTGTTTCTGCGTTGGCCATACGGATCGGCCTGGCGAGCCCTGAGCAGAGGCTGGAGCGCCGGGCTCTGTGGGCGTGGGGAGGCCGGCCTCACGCCCTGCCCAGCGGCCTGGGCAGCCCCGAAGGGCCGGCCGAGCCCTCCTCTCCACCAGCCGTGTGTGCTGGGTCACAGCTGCTGTGCAACGATGAGCTGGGAGCCTCAGCCGCTCTCTGCCCAGCGTGGGCCCTGGGCCCGCCCCCTTCCCCCCACCTGCCATCTGAGTTTGAGAAGCGTGGTGAACACAGACTCTCAGCCACCCAGCGGCCCGCAGAGATGAGCGGTCAGTGCTGAATGGCACCGTGGAGGGGATGCTGGCACCAACACCTGGGGGCTGGGAGCACAGCTGGGCTGCTTCCTACCCACGTGGGTGGTCGCCAGCTGCCGCCCTGCCCTCGGCCTTCGCTCCTTCATCTTCGAGCGGGGGCGATGATGTGGACGTGATGATGGCACTGATGTCGACGGTGGGGCCACCCGCCGCCGGAAACGTTAAGTGACCTGATCCCCATGAGCGCATGGCCCGCGGCTCCTGGCGAGGGCCGTTTTGGTGTCCGCGTCCTGAACAGTAACCGCGGGAGCCGAATGCAAGCGAGAACAAGTTACCTTACGTTCACGGTGCTGTGACTTGACTTTCCGAGGGGTGAGCTGCACCTCGACAGGGGTATTCGGGGTCTCAAAGAAGCCGTCTGCGGACAAGGAGTCACCCCCACCGGGGCTCGAACCGCAGCTCGCGGGCCATAGCCCTGCAGCGCCTCTTCACCCCTCTGAGCCCGTCTCTTCACCTGTCGGATGAGGGTCAATAATCCCCACCTTCCAAGGAGCCTTAAATGAGCTAATCTGTGAAAAGCACCCCACTCACTGCCCATCCTCTTCTTCCTCAAGCTGTTGCCTAGCAACGGCCAATTAATTGTATTATGTCTGCAGCGCCTCCCCCCGTTTTGCATGTCTGTTTCCGGGTTTGACTCCACCTCCGACTCAGGGACAGGGATGACCCATCGTTCATCGCTGAATGCTCGGAACCCAGCACAGCCCCGCCCTCAACAGGTGCTCACAGGTGAAGGCCATCAGGCTGCAAGGCAAGTAGCCAGGTGCATCTCTCAGTCCTTCTGACCTCCGCATCATTTCAGGCCCAGCTGCCTGAGGATGGCGCTACCCCCACCCGCCATGGCCTAATTCCAGCCCCAGCCTAACAGGATGCTCTGCGTCCAGAGCTCACTCTGGCCTTGAGGACCCCTCCCCGGGGTCACTGAGCAGAAGATAAAGAAAGCTGCAAAGGAAGGTCACGACTCTCAGACACATCTATCTTTATTTGTTTCCTGTCAGAAAAGTTCAAGAATTACACCAAAAAATACTTCAGCCTCTGCTACCTACTGACAAAAATACACCACAAAATTATAAAGCGCTCAGCGGATCGGCTAGGGACAGTTTGTTATTCCGCTTCAGATGACAAATGAATTTACAGGTGGCTCGAGGTGATGGGAGGGTTTGTGGGAGGGAGCAGAAGTCAGATGGCAGCGTTTGGCGGGACAGTATGAGCTGTGCTAGTCCAGCTGTCGGGTCCCGTGGGTTCGGCAACATAGCAAGCCAGGAAAAAATGCCCTTTAAATGTCCTGTCACAGTTTCGTGGGGAACAGTACCATATGTCAAATAACGGACTCTCGCAGCCAGTTCTGGGCCTCTTGGGCCTGGAGCTGACGCCCCGCAGAGTGGGCCTCGGCACTGGGAGGCCCGGTGGGTGCTGGAGGCTGCCTCTTTGTCAGAGGCCTCTAAAACCAGATCAGGGAGTTTGCAGGGATGTCCCTGTCAACGCAACCGAATGGGCAAAATGACTTGGCTCTGTCGGCCCATCCTAGTCTCCCTGGCTGTCGCCTCAGGCACCTGCTCATGGCCTTTATTGTTCTTCTCGTTTTTTAGCACTTTGGGGAAACAAATAACCAAACAACAATTTTAAACTCGGGGGCCCATGCTTATAGCTTGGCCAAATGTCACATGCCTGGCCTCTCCCTCCGTCTCCCTGCAGCCTCTCCTTTCTCTCCCCTTCTACACTCACCGTCTCCCAAACACAGACCCACGTGTAGGTCTAGAAACACAAGAAAAACACAGGAAAACTCTGTCTGCTTCTGTGCTGGCCTGCCCCATCCGCGTCCGCGGGCTGCGTGAGTCGGCCGGTGCCACCGCTTGCCCCGAAGCTCACACACAAAATTGTGCTCACCTTGCAAAGCGCCCGCCTGCTCTGCACTTTGGGTTGTGTGCCTCCTGGGCTTTCCAATGTCAACATCGGCCCTCCCCTCCAACTCGGCCCTTCCTCCCTCCCCGTGTCCCCTTCCTGCAGACCAGAGGCCAACCCAACACTCCGCTCTGTGTCATCACGCATTCTGGACCTTGGGACGCCCACACTGAAGCTACGTTTTCTCATCAAAGAAGCTCAGAGGGTCCTTACTGCCCCCCCCCACGTCTTCCAGATGCAGCCAGTTCAATCCTTTTTATGTTTTTTGTTGTTGTTGTTCATGTTCTCTTTCTTTCCTTTTCTGTTTTTAATCTTCCCTAAGAAATGAATAAGCAGTGGCTTTGAAAATATCTTACATGGGAACGATCAACACGAAACATGCCTTTGTACATTAGCCTGACCCGGGGACGGATCCACAACACCAAAGACGAAAGGAAACAGGGATTCTGACCACTCCAGCGCGGGGCAGTGTGGGTGAGCCCCGCCCACCTCGCCCCGCCCACTCCAGCGCAGGGCAGTGTGGGTGAGCCCCGCCCACCCCGCCCCGCCCACTCCAGCGCCGGGCAGTGGGTGAGC